CTGGTTTTGGCTAGGGTAGAGTTAATTTTCCTCCTAGTAGTTGGTAGGGTGCTGTGTTTTGGATTTAGGATGAGAATAATGTTGATATCACACTGATGTTTTAATTGTTGCAGAATTGTTGCACCAAGCCAAGGACTTTTCAGCTTCTCACTCTGTCCTGCCAGCAGGCAGGCTGGGGATGCAACAGGAGCTGGGAGGAGACAGACCCAGGACAGGTGACCCAAACTGGCCAAAGGAGTATTCCATACCATCTGACGTGATGTGAACAATTAATGGGGGGGGCCTGGCCGGGGTGGGGGGACCAGTTGCTCAGGGATAGGCTGGGCATCAGTCAGCAGGTGGTGAGCAATTGCATTGTGCATCACTTGTTGTGTACGCACTATCATCATCATCATCAATCATCATCATCATCATTCTTTCTTTTCTGTCCTAAGAAACTGTCTTTATCTCAAACCACAGGCTTTCATTTTTTTCTGATTCTTTCCCCCATCCCAGAAAAGGTTTAGGAAGGGTGAGTGAATGGCTGTGTGGTGCTTGGCTGCCAGCTGGGTTAAACCACAACAAAACTAGGGTTGGGAGCACAGAAGTACAACATTGGATACCCAGGGAATGCCATGGACCATCGCAGTGAGGATTAAGATGAACATCTGGCATTTTGGAATGCAGTTTTGTATTTGAAGGTCTAAATTTCAATGAGCTCCTCCCCAGGAACCTACATTCTTCAGTAATTCTGACTCTAAGTGTTCTGTGCATCTGTACCAGATTGGCACAAACAACTCTTGTGGGCTTCGTGGGTGTTGGATCAGGCCCTGCATGCAGACCATGCTGCAGGAAGGAAGTGCATAATGATTTGGAGAAAAATGATGTATTTATGAGCATCAATCATGCCTTTAGAGATTGGCCGCTGAAGCAGGGTGGATGCAATGGCCAGGCTTCCCCTGCACAGTGACTGCTTCATCTCTCTGCACTGTCAACAAGCCTCCCATCAATTACCCCTAAAAACCCATTCTGGAGCAGCGATGAAAGCTCTCCCTTTCCACAGCACTAATACCAGATCTGGGTTTTAACAGCCCAGCACTGCTAAGCACATGATAAATGGTTTGTTCAGAGGCATCTGCAAGTGAAGAGAAGGTGGAATGAGGGGAGGAAGAAAGGAAGAGGAGAAGGTAAGGAAGAGAAGGAGGTGATGGAGGGAGGTTTTATAATGTCGTCATTGCTAAGAAACAATGGGGAGAGTAAACATCAAAAACAGCTTGAGAAGTGCCAGTGGTAGAAGGACTGCATATGCCCATGTTTTTCCAAATACAGGGGAAAAAAATAGAATAAAATAAAATGACTGGGAGTTTATTTAGAAGGGTTTGGAAAGTCCCTGGTAAACCAGAGGCACCTGTGTTAGATCTCAGGGTTTTAAATTAAATATTTGATTGCTATTTCATTCGCCAGCACTCAGCAAGAAGAAAAGGTGATACAAATATTTACGATGACCTCCTTGGTCTGATTTTGAGTATTGGTATTGAGTCACTAGATTGAGTGGATATAAATTCTCAGCGGTGGAGTGGAGATTTTTTACATCAAAAATCTCTTTTGATGTGCAGGAGACCTGTCATTTGACAAAACACTAAGTCCAGGAGATGAAATCTGCAAAAAAAAAGAACCCCCCCAGCACAAACAAATGAAAAACCCCAGCTCATCCCTGGCGTTCAAACCCAATGAATAATCAAAACACCCAAACAAACCACTGCAAGCAGAGAGAAGAAAGCCAGGCGTCAGATGGCAGCTGCCCAGCCCAGGCATCATCCCGAGCACTAATCTGGTTGGTGGCACAGCTCCGTGGTGCAACTGAGAGCCACTAGCTGGTAAATGCTCTGTCATTATTAGGAGATACCACTCGTCTGCATTTCCCGTTTCTGTCCTTGCCAATAGCCTCAGGGGAAGGGTTTTCATCTGTTTTTGATGAAAGCAAAATTAAAGTAATCATAACAAAATTGCAGCAGATTGTATCCCAGCCAGTGGAAAGGAAGAGGGAACGGGGAACCCACACTGGTGCTGGCAGAGCTGCACTGGCTATGTGGTGCTCTCCTGGACAGGCACATAGGATGGTACAGCTAACAGAAAGTATAAGCTGTTAGGCAGAAATACAAATATACTTCTTAAATTAAAAAGGCAAAAATAACCCACTAGCATAATCCCTGAGCCAGAAAAAGCAGAGCTACTGCTGGTTGTCACTGGTGTGAGCCAGAGGGGAGTCACGTCTGCAGGTCATGGAGCTGCAGGCTCCTCTTTCTTGCACGGCTTTGTTGTTCCTGTGGCTGACAAGAAAAGAAAATCTGTCAGCCTTGTGCAAAAATCATGTTTTGTGAAAATCTGTTAGAACACTTTTAACTGCATCCAAATGATAATGCTTGTTCTTCCTTATTAGACATTTCCTCCCAGTACCTATAGCCCATCATTGCTTTTTGCCTTTGGGATCCAGCTTCTGAACAACAAACTTCTGTTTTTTTCTGCAGTGAGTGCTGGTCGCAGGCACTCCCACCTCATAATTTATTAACTGAAAGTAGTTTCTAAGTACCCTGCAGGTTTTTTTATATAGCCCAGCCAGGCTTGGTCTGTGGCCTGGACACGGCAGGAGGGGCTGAGGAGATGCATGCCTGGAGGGGCTGAGTCTAGATCCCCATCATGGGCTTGTGGGGAGGGATTTTTGCCTTAATGCAAGTGAAAGAGAAATTGAGCTCCCACTTCCAGTACTCGGGTCTCTGTGTGGCAGTTCATGCACATTGCTGAGCTTTTGGGCTACTTTAGATGAGCTAAGAAGGATCACAAGATTTTTCAGGTAGTGAGGGCAGGCCCTCTGGGATAAGTAGTACCTGGAAAGGTCCATGCAGCAGCTTTGGTTGGGTTGGGTTAGCACCTTCTCCTCTCTTTGCTATTCCTCACTCTCTGTTCTTACCACAGAGTAACTGAGAATAGTTTTGCAAGAGTCTTTGGTTCCTGGGGACTCTTTTGGGGTCCAGTAAAGATGAAAACATATTTCCAGGTACGACCTCCACCCAGAATCTCTCTGGGCTCAGAAATACAAATCTCGCCTGGCCCTTCTCCCTGGCTCATGGTTGCTGTGGGCTGAGATGTTGCGAAGTTTGGTGAAGATGGGAGTTGCTGCCACAAGCACTCTGTCATCTGGAAATGGAGCCATGGCAGAAAAGCACCCCTGAGCCATTTCTGCAGAGCTTGCTGAGCTGTCACCCTTCCAACCTTTGATGCAGAGAGCTGTAGGCACCTTTTGCTTTAGGTACCAGGGGAAAGAAGCTGGCAGATGTGCAAGCAGGAAGACACAACTGTGTTTCTCCAGCTCAAGACAGATCATTGCTGCATGTCATATAAAGCAATCCTTCTGTCCCCGCACTGCTTCAGGAGGCATGAGCACCTCAGAGAACAGCAGAAAGAGGAGAAGCTTGGGCATCTTGGTATCTAGAACCAGTCTTTGAAGATTCCCCTTTTCTAATCATGAGATGATCTGGCATCCAGGTGACAGCATGGAGTAGGTACTTTGTGGTTTGTTCGTCTTTATTCAGTTTCAGCTGTTCTAGTGGGTGTTGGAGGAGTTCAGATATAACAGGCAGTGGGGAGAAACATTACTGCAGCTGGGAAAGGAATGATTTAGCTGCTCTTCTGTGGATGCCTTCCCACCGGTAGTACTCTGTGCAAATGCCACATGGCAGTTTTTTTCTCCTGCCAGGAGAGAAATGTTCCTCTAGAAACTCACGCTGTTCTTTTGCATAACCAGAGGTTTAATTTCAAGCCATTAATCCGTGTGATCTGCACCAAGCCTTCAGGCAATGTGTTCCAGTTGGATAAAATCCTCTTTCATGTGTCAGAGCTGGGCTGGGGGTGTGCTGCCAGCACCATCAGATCTGTAACCTTCCCATGACAGCCCGCTCCTCCCTCCCCACTCCCAGTGCCCAGCCCAGCTCTGCCTCCTTCCACGCTTCCTCTCCAGGACTCAGCAGTTCATTTGCCCAGAGGAGTGGAGCAAACACAAGGTGATTTTTTTTTTCTTCCTTGCAGAAAGAACATGTTTTTCTTTCTTGCCCTGAACGAAGTCTCTGGGCCAGCTCTTCAAAGTCATTGTGGAGCCAGAACATCTCTGAATGTTTTTTAACATTTGGAAAGGGAAATATGTCCTCCAGAAACAGCTCAAAAGGCAATTAAAAAGACCCAGGGCAGTGCCCCTAGTAGATGCCAGAGTGGGTGCCAACCTCACTCCTTTCCTCTTTATTACAGTTGAAGTGCTTGGACATCATCTCTCGCATGGACCTGAGACTGTCATCGAAGCCTCCCTTTCCAGCCTCTGCCACCTGCTTATCATCACCTCTGCAACCGGGTACCCAGCCCCTTCCACTCGTGGGACCTGTTCAGCTGCAGTTGTCCTCTCCTGCCACAGAATACTCTGCTAGAAACACAAACCTCTGCTCATTAGCAGAGGTTTTGTTTCAATCATCCCCGCAGGTTCTGCATGTTCCCAGGACTCAAAACAATGATCTCCAGAGGTCCCTTTCAACCTAAACCATTCTGCAATCTCATGAAAATTCACCCTTAGCAGCTCCATGTGGGGCAATGGTAGGCTCTGTGCTGAAGAATTTACCTAAATGGTTAATGCAGATAAATACATTTGGCTGGGATGGGGGATTTCCTTGTACTTGTGGGCCTGCAGAGAAAAGGAGGAAAGGATGCAGAAAAGCATTTACACAGACCTGTGAACTGATCTGTGGAAACACCTTAATTTTGCAACTGCAAGACCCAAAAGACAAGTTTCTTCCGTGGAGGTGCAATGTGAAACCCTGCCCAACCCAAGTGCCTCCTTGGAGAGGTAACTAACTCATGTGCTACAGATCTGCCTCCTCCTCTGTCAGCTAGAGCCAGCACCTGAGCCACAGCTCGTGATTGCCCCCCAGATGCAGTCCCTCCCTATTTAATGGGACCCAAAGCAGCCCAGGGCTATTTGTCAGCAATGCACTGCAAGATGCTGCCTCTCCAGCTCCTGGCTCATCCTCTAAGACTCATGTTGTAAGACTGTCCTCTCTTTAACACAGGCAATTTACTCTTTTCATCTTTGATTTGCATAATGATGGCTTTGGGGTTTATCTTGTTTGTAAGGGAGCAGGAGGGTAACCTTCTTTCTACTTAGTGATAACTCTAGAGTAGTCATTAGAGGTGCAGTAAGAGAAAAGAACTGAACTTAAAACTTTGCTAGTTCCTTCCTAAAAGCCTTCTAGTACATCTTAATAGGGGCAAAAGACACAGTAAAAGAAAATAAGGCTGCAGAAGAGCATTTCTGACCTTGAGATATTTGCAGTACTACTCTCAGGTCTATCAGCTGCATAACTTTACTGGAGGATTGGCTGGGCCAGCACGTGGGTTTTTCCGTGAGCTAATACTAATGAGCATTTATTTCTAATTCAAGTTTTATTATTAAATCAACCTCTGGAAGGTGACTGTTTGAGAAAGGACTTATGCCAAGCACCTGTAATCCATCCCAGCTGGCTTTCTAGGGAAATCTTGGAGATAAAAAAAAAAAAAAAGAGTTTTGTGTCTGCAACCAGTATGGATGTGGGAACCAGCCTTTCCATCCCAGTATACGCACATAGGAGAGCTGCCCTCAGCTGTGTTGGGATGGGGTTGTACATATGGCTTACAGCCCTGCTGCCAGAGCTGAGCATGGTGTGGGGCTCCTGCAGCTCATCTGCAGGGACACTAGGGCTGTGCCCCTGCTGAGAGCTGAGCAACATTTATCATTGAGCAATCTAAGAGCACCAATAGCTCTACCAACAATCAGTGGTAGCCCTTTGCTTGTGCTGCAGGAAGAATAAAGTCTCTCAGGACCCGGCACTTGAGTCACTAGGATGGATTTGTAACTTGCTTCAGCTGCAAAAGCAGCTGTCAGAGCCCCCACCTTGTTTGGTTTTGGGTGCTTGGCTGTCAGCAGAAGGTGGGGCTGATCTCTGGCTTTGCTTGTGTCCTGGTTTAGTTGGAAGCCTTCATGCATTTAAGCTGACCACCCTTTGTAGAAGGCTCTTTTCATGCTGCTTGGAGTCTCCAGAATGTCAGCTTACAGATGGTGTCAGAAAGCAGAGGGGACTTGTGTCACCTGAAGGCTTTCTGCGGGAACGTTGACCTTTCTTCTTTTTTTCTTCTTTCTTCTTTGTTTATCCTTTGTTTATTGCCCATTGCAAAAAGCCCCATTGCACTGGGGCTTTTTTCTTTCTTTCTTTTTTTTTTTTTTGTATTCACAGTTCAAACTGAAATGTTTGAACTATGAATACAAAATGAACACAACACAACATGTCAAAGTCAATGAACTACATTGACTATTCTTTGTGTTGTGTTATCAAAAACGGTATGCTCCAAAGCTTGACATGCCATCAATTGCTTTGTGAGCTTGAATACAAGCTGGCTTGGGTAACCTGTGTTGTAGCTGTCTGGCAGGAACAGCACTGAGAGAGGCTGGAGACAGAATGAGGCTAAACTGAAAGACACAGATTGCTTCCCTTGCAAGGAAGAAGCCGTCTGTCCTTCAGCAGAAGAGATTTGTGAATGTTTAGGTTTAATCCAATGGTGCAGCCCTCTGCTTGTATGGATGAGCAGCAGGCTGTGGGCAGAGCCCAACAGCCTTGGGGCACTTCACAGCTGTCCCAGAAAGTGGAAAGGCAGCCCTTGGTAGGAGGGAGACCTGTTCACCTGTCAAAGAAGGTTGCTGTGAAGTGTGGTGCCGCTGGCTGGACAAAGCAAACCACTGGGGACTAAAAATAAAAGCAGGTTGTTCTTTATTTGCAGCTGCTGTTTGAATCACTGCTGCAGTTAATGACAAGGCTAAATGATGGTCATTGTGTGCTTTATGATTGCTGATAATTCCTCTTGCATGCCATAGAAACTGTATGGCATGATGGATCATGAAATCATTCTTAATGTGCTTTATACGCCAAAGAAGGGCTTTCAAAACCAACTTAATGACAGCTACTCATATTTGCTTTCCTTTGGTGATTGGAGGTTATTAGCTAATTAGTATCTCATTCTCATTCTGAACTGCCTGCCTTTTTGATTTCAGAGGTTGGGGGCCAAACCTGGAGACGTGATAATATGCATGGCATGTAGAAAGCATTGTTTCCTTTTGTGAAATAACATCAAATGTCAGCTGGGTCAGGGTTTTCTGAGCAGGCTTCCCCTGTGAGTGCATGGCTGTTTCAGGCATCACTTATGCAGCAGGTAGCATTCCTGGTACAGACCTGTTGGTACCAAAGTGATAAATAATACAGCTGTGTCCACAGCATCAAAGGCACTGAATTCCTTTTCATAATCCCCAGGAGGCTGAGACTGTCAGAAATGTGGAGCTTACTACAAAAAAAAAAAATCTCTGACAAAATATTTAAAACCACAACAGTGGGGTGGATTCTGATATGCCCACAAGGATGTAAGAGTGGCACAGGGAAAGAGAAAAGGGGTTGCTGGACACTAGGAGGCACAGCTGAGAGATCGTACCCTGGAGGGAGTCAGCACATCAGTGGCAACGGGTGGGACAACCCAAGTGAAGGCTTTCAGTGGATACAGGATGGCAATATCTTGCTATCTAAGCTTTTGCTAGAACTGGGTTTGAGGGTGGGGTTGTGTTTGAGTAGTGGGACGCTTGTTCTGGGGAAGGGAGTAAGACCAAGATGCTACCAGCATTTTGCAGAATTGTTTCTGCACAGGCAAAGTCTAGTCTCTTTGATCTAGGGAATAAACTGTAGGACCAACTATGCAGTCTCAAGATTCTGTCTCCAGCACTGGCCACCAGCAGGGTAAAATCCTTTTCCCAGTTATCCCCTGCCAGATCCAAGCAGTCAGTGGTTTAGGAGCTGTGAACCAGCACAATCAATTTTCCCAAAGTCCTGGGGTTTCTGAAATTACTGAAGGCTGTGAACCCAGAATCACAGACTGTTTTAATGGACCCAAAACTATATTTATTCAAGATGAGTGTACTCCAAAACAAATTTGCCCAACACTGAGTTGGTGTTAGTGAAGCTGTCAGCAAGGCTGTTATCAGTCTTAGTCCCAGCAGCTGAGAAGAATTCTTAAGTACAAGTGCATGTGGGGGAAAAAAAGAAAAAGGTATATTTAACATTTATAGTTCCTTTTATTACAGCAAATACCTTTTATGTCCAATGGATGAAATATATAGCACCAGTCAAAATTCCTGTTTTGAGTTACATCCATTATGAACTCAGCCCCATTTCTGTTTAGTAAATCATTTGCAAGACAATCCTGATAGCTTTGTATATGATTCATAAATCTTAGCTGAACAGCTTCTTTCCAGGTAGTCAGCTTTTTGCAAGAAACTTCATATTTACAGATTGTTGGACTCACTATTGGAAACCATTCCCTAACATGAATTGTATGGGAGGCTGTACTGAAGATCCAGGGTGACTGTTAGTCTGGATTCAGTATGTGAATCCATGACCATTTCCTGATCCATAGCACTGTACTTGAATATGTTATGAAGAAAACATTTTCTGCCTTCTAGTGATATTGAGTGTGGTGGGTGAATTCTTTTTGCTTGTGCATCACCAGATGGATCTGAATCCTACGAGAGTGGATGGAGGTGCAACTGGTGCTGGAGTGCTTTGGAGGGTATTGACAAGGATTTCATAGGGTCATCCCCCAAAGACACTTCAGTTGTGTGATGTTAGATTTGAATTTTTAATCATCAATGAGTGAGATCTTTGTGAATTAGCTATAGAGGTGCCTTCTCCTGTGGGTAAAACATCAGATTTCAAACAACATGGCTGGTTGGTTTATGTCCAGTGTGACAATATGTTTGTATTAGACTAAGGTGTAAATAGGTGGAAAATGCTAAAATTTACAAATTTTGGTCTGAATGAAATTAAACTGCATGGAAAAGTTAGTTGCTACAACTTTTTTTTTTTTGGGGGGGGGGGGGGGGCAGGAGGCTTGATAGCTATCAGCTTCTTAGTTTGATTTCTCACCAGGGCGTTAGGAAGAGTGACACATCTTATAGAAGAGATTTGGAAAAAATGTTTGGCCTTCATTTTTTGAGGGTCTAAGGATTGCTTGTAAAAAAAAAAAAAAAAAATGGCAGAGAAGAGATGAATCAAAGGCAAGTGACTGCTGTGAGCTGACTTCAGCTCACAGTGAGTATCTTAGCAGGGTTTCCCAGTGCATTCCAGATGTGTTCAGAGAGGACAGCCCTGCTTCATGGGCACTGCCTCTGCACTTACCTTGTGCAACTTTGAGCTGGGATTTGGGCAAAGGGCTGCAGCGAGTCCCTTAATGTTTCAAGAAAGGAGCAGCCCAGAGGCAGCTCTGAGCTCCCTGGTCTCCTGCTACAACCCCTAAACTAAGGGGAAGGAAACATCCGATAAATAATTGGAAGAAGGTTCAGTGCCATGGCAGAGATGGAATGCGAAGTGGCTCGTGTGATGCAATCAGAGTGTGAGCTGACTGTGCAGGTGAGTGCAAGCTAAATGCATGAGAAAAGGGGTGGGATATATTTTTCAGATCAAATTAAAACAGGGCCATCTGGCTTAGGAGATGGGGAACAAGTAGAGGTGAGGGAATTACAAGTTTTTTGGTTCACTGGTTCTTCTGGATGGAAAAGAAAAAGTCATTCAGGTTGAATGAAGTGTTGCATTTCTCCTGAAACGAAAACATTTCATTTGAGTGGCCAAGGGGTATTTTGTTTCAAAATAAATAAAAGCAAGTGATTTTGAAACCAACTTTTTTCACATGCTGAAGCTGAAAAGGGACTTGAGGTTAGTGGGAATGACTGAGAAGCTCCTTGAGGTGCAACAATCCCTACCAAAGGGTGTTCATGACCCTGCAGGCCACCTGCCTGACCTCACCAGCAGGTGGTTTTCCTCACCTGGGAATGAGGAAGGTCAGTTACCAAGTCTTCAGGTGACCTTCCCACAGGGACAAAGCATGAATATTCCCAATGTGGCAAATTGGAGCTTCTCATGAATGTCTGGAGCAGGCAACATGCCCTGCACCAACTTCAAAGACTTTTCACCAAG